GTGGAAATTGCAGCAGCAGGAGATGAGGGTTGAACGAGTTTATATAATCTCGGAAATTTAGTCTAAAGTGGGAATTCAATGCAAAAGGAGAAAGAGATGCTTTCAGTAAGGTTACTGCAAGAAGTAAAGTCTCCAGAATGAGAGGTTAGTGGGGAAGGATGAAAGGCCAGTCTGAGAGGCCGATTTGCGTGAGATCAGCTGCAGAGTGACGCCGCAAACCACAGCTTGTGAATGCAGGGAAAGAAACTGAGGCGAATAGAACTGGTGAATGTTATAGAATTGAAAGTAAAATTAAAGACTTCAGTTTATGTTTAAGACTTTTTTTTTTGCTTGTCTTTCTTAAAAATAGCCGCTAAGTCAAAGCTTGATATTAGTGACCTTTATGTTTTACAGAAACAAACCATTATGGTAAAGTGTAAAGATCAAGAAATTTAGAGTCATTAATTTATAAATTAAATCAAATGTAATAATGATGGCTGAATGGGTTATGTGTTATTGCTGCAACATGTGGGAGTTGCTGGACACCAACATGATCCAGAGTGAACACATCTGTAGCAAGTGTTTGCAGCCTGAGGAACTTCGGATCTGGGTTGAGAAACTGGAGTCTGAGCCGCCGACATTCCACTACATCAGGGAAGGAGAAAGTTACCTAAACACTTTACTCTATAGGTCAGTCATACCCTTCAGTGTAAGTATTCAAGATTGGTCTGTGATCAAGAAGGACGGTGTGCCTGCAGATGAGGCACGTATAGAACCTGGGGGGTTGTAGTTGAGGAGCCTCGGCCCCTGCAATTGTCCAGTGGTTATGACGTTCTTGCAAGCTGTGTGGACAAGAGTTGGGACTGCAGGGAGAATGAGCAAACTGACCAAAAAAACTTGGTACAGGGAACTATTCAAGTCGGGAGGAAGAAATAGGAATGTAGTCATGGTAGGGGACAGATCCTATTCTCTGTAACTGTGAGCAAGAATCCCTGAAGGTTGCCTATCCAGTGCCAGTGTTTATGGACATTCTTGGGGTTAGAGAAAATCTTGGAGTAGGGAGGGAAGAGATCCAACTGTAGTCATTCACGTTGGTACCGGGTACATTGGTAGAATTAGAAAGGAAATTCTGCTGAAAGAATTTGAACAGCGAGGAGCTAAATTAGAAAGTGGAATCTACAACGTAGTAATTTCAGCCTTGCAACCCAAGCCATTAACCATCTGGCTTGGGTAAAGGAAGTCAAGAAGTTAAATGTGTGGCTCAGAGTATGGTTTGGGAGGAATACATCTCAGTTCTTGGGCACTGGAACCTGTACTGGAGTAGAAGGGAGTCATGCTGGGAGCAGAGTCCTGGCAAATTAAATAATTAAGGCTGTAGAGAGGGCTTTAATCTAATTAGACTAGGTGAAGATTTTTTGGAAAGGGGAAATGTAAGCTTTAAAAGGAAGAGGAAATGGCATTATTACAGGACAGTTATTTAGATAACATTACCCATAGTGGGACAGGAAGGAACAGAGTGGACGAAGATATCAAATCAGCAGTAAATAGGATCAAGGAATTTGTTGCGGGGGGAGAATGGTAAAAAGACGAAGTCAATGTGTGTAGTATTTGGAACAAAATAAATGAATTAATGGCACAAATACCGATTAAATGAGTATGTTCTTTTAATCATTAAGGAAAAGTGGTTACAGGGAGATCAAAGCCAGGAAATAAATATTCAGGGATATGTGACTTTATGAAAGGACAGGCAGAAAGAAAAGGGTGGTGGGGTGGCATTGTGTATCAGGTAGCATAAATGCATTAGCAAGAAATGATTTTGGATCGCAACGTTGAGAATCTAAATGGCTGGAGGTAAGAGATAAGAAGTGGAAGAAGGCCCCTTAGGAGTGGTCTATAGGCCCTAACAGTAGCTCGACAGTGGGACAGAGAATAAACCAGGAAATAATAAGGGCATGTAAAACAAAAGCAGTGTAGTAATGGGTGACTTTAATCATGTGCATTAGGGTAGCCATGAGAAGAATTTGTTGTGTATTCAGGACAGTTTCCTAGAATAATATATTGCAGATCCAAGCAGGGTTTAGGCTATTTTAGATCAGATGATGTGTAATGAGGCAGTTTAAGAAATTATGTCAGAGTGAAAGATCCCTAAAGAAGCAGTGACCATAAGATGATAGAATTTAGCATTCAGTTTGAGAGGGAGGAACTTGGTCAGAAACAACTGTGCTAAACTTAATAAAGTTAATTTACAAAGGAATGTGGGCTGAGCTGGCTGGAGTGGACTGGGAAAGGTGGAAAGGTGTTGAACAGCAAAGATGGTTGAGGAAAAAATGGCAGACGCTTCAGAAATGCTTCATGACTCACGGCAAAGATATATTTCAGTGAGAGACAACGATTCTAGAAAGGGAATAAAGCCAATCATGGTCAACCATAGATAACATCAAACAAGAACATAAGACATATGAGCAGAAATACGTCATTCAGCCCATTGAGTTTCTGCCATTCAATGAGGTCATGGCTGATCTGATGATACTCAACTCCACTTTCCTGCCTTTTCTCTAAAATTCTTGATTCCCTGACTGGTTAAAAAAATCTGTCTATTGTGGCCTTGATGACCCAGCCTCACTGACCCTCTGTGGTGAAGAATTCCACAGATTCACTACCGTCTGAGAGAAACAGTTCCTCTTTATTCTATCTTAAATGTGTGACCACTCATTCTGAGATTAGGCCGTCTGATCTTAGACTCTCCCACAAGGGAAAACAACCTCTCTGCATTTACCGTTTCCAATATAGTAAGAATCTTGCATATATCAGTAAGGTCATCTCTCATTCTTCTAAACTGCAAGGTGTACAGCCCAACCTACTCAACCACTCCTCCTAATACTGTTTCTGCATACCTAGGATCAGCCTAGTGAATATTCTCTGACTGCCCCCATTGCCAGTGCACCTTTCCTTACATAAGGGTCCTATTGTGATAGGTTCCTTGATGAGACTCTACAGAAGACCCAAGGTCAACATAGAGGGGTCAGTATGAATCAATTCAAGCTATGGATGGCACAGAAGACTAGGGACATCTGGTGGATTTGGGTAGGAATTAGGGAGCTAAGAAGGGTTAAAATGAAAGATGGGCATGACTGGGTACTGAGAATATGAGAGCACAGGAATGAAGAGGCTGAAAGGGACCCTGAAGAAAAAAATTATTAGCTGGATGTATTTGGAATGTTCTATGTGAAAGGAAAACCGTATTGTGAACCAACACATAGTTACGTGAAATATTAGGTCAGGCAACATGGGTCTTAAGGATTGCCTTTACAGTAAAAAGAGAAGCAGAGAAATCTAGAGCTTAGAGCCTGAAGGCTCAACCAACAAGGAGGAAGTGCTTGAGCTGATGATGCTTTAGATCAGAATTAGCAGAGGGAAAATATCTTGAAGGGCCATAGTCTGGTGGAGGTTACACTGAGAGGGTTGGGTGAGACATGGAGGGATTTAAAAGCAATAATAACAGGCCTTGGTTTTAAATCTTTCTTAACCAGCATGGGTGCAGTTGAGGGAGCCGGACATGAAAGTAACTGTAAGGGGCTGAGAAGCACATCAGGTCAGCACTAACAACAGGAGTGAGAGTAGCTTCTTCAACCCAGAAAGGTGACTGCGGTCAGCAGCTACAGTAAATGGAAAACAACAATACAGAATCTGAAACAGAATGGGAGTCTAAAGCAACAGATCAGAGCTAATGAAAAATTCCCAGTGGACGAAGAGTAAACTGATTGCACAAAAGCAGATCAGATACTGGAATAGAGGAAGTTCAACAGTGAGTGAAGGCTCAGTAAAAAGCAATGGTGAAAGTAGAAGTCAAATTCAAGCTCAGAAGCAAGCAGAGAAATGACTTTCAGTCCAGGAAAAGAGAGCCTTTTTTCCAGGATCTACCTGAGTGAAGCTGAGAAACCAATCCGAAAATTTTGAACCTCAGCAGGTAACAGGAAAAACAGGGCAGCTCTAGACAACAGGCTTCTTTAAACATGAAGCAATTGAATAGCAGAGCAAAATTTCAGCAGCCACAATATGAATTTTCCATTGGCAGAAAACATGGTTTAAATGATGGACAAGGCCTGAAGTCTTGGAAATAGCAGTAAGCAGAGTTGTGGACAAAGAAAAGAGCAAAGATGGAAGCTGAAACTTGTGTCAGAAAAATATTCAGAAGTGTTCCTCATACTCAGCACAACGGACTACATAGGTCACCAGGTCCCTTGTCCCTGTCTGCCAATGTTAGAAGATAAGGAGGCTAAATTAAAGGTTGGGTTATACTTAATTCCCTTGCTGTGCCATAGAAAGCTTGAGATTTCCAAAATTTCAGAAGGCAGTTTCAAAACTTGCTGATTGCTCAAACTTCATGAGGGACATTCATGAGCAACGTTTGAAGGAGTTTAAAATTAAAAGCACATTTAAAATTAAATAGGCCATTCATGTGCTCATCTAAAAGAAAACACAAGTTCACTTAGGCACGGAACATCTAGGTTTCAGTGTGATGACCAGAATGAAAAAGACCTCTGGTGATCAAGTGCTGCAAACACTTACACGTACATTTTAACTCTGGTGCTGCTGTTTCTCTGTTGAATTGGCTTTTCAGAGAAGCTGCAGTACAACAGCCCATCATTGATTCAGCTCCCAAACACCATCTAGACGTCCTGCTCTGCTGCACCTCGCCACCAACCAGGAAACCTTTATACTTGTGATTTCAACATGTGACAGAATAAAATGGACTTAACTTTTTTTGGTGGAGACAGGTTCTGAATACTTTATTTTCCTTTAAACGAAACCTTGCTGCAAGCCTTTCCAGTATACATTCTAAGTGATGTGGGCCGTCTGACTCATTGGACTGCATGGAGCATTCTTGCTGTGATTTGACCTGAATATAGTGATTATTTTAATTGCCCAGCTGGTATAATTTCAATTCCATCTGTGCACTTGCTCTTGCCTGCATTTGTTCTGAGGCCTTCTCCTGTTTCTGTGTTTGTGTCCTTCATCAGCAACAGACTGTAAAATATCAGACTCAGCTCAGTGGTCAGAAACAGCTTATCGAACAGACTGAGCTAACCAGCCAATCAGAAATGCAGCACCTGAGGAGCCAATTGGAGCGAGCCAATGACACAATCTGTGCAAACGACATGACGATGGAGAGGCTGAATATGACCGTGGATGAACTGGAGGCTGCGAACCAGCAGTTTAAATCGGGACAACAACTTTTGCAGGAAGAGCTGCAACATTTGCAGCAACTCATACAGGTTGGAGCCTTCAAGTTTAATTGTAGTTAAAGTTAATTCCCTTTGTGAAAAATTGAGGTACTGTAAAATGTATTAACAAATTGAAATCAAATTTGAACCCCCACAGGAACAAATGGATGATAGTGGGTTTTAAAATCAATAAAAAGGAGCTGTTGAAGTATTTTAAAGAAAGCTATGTCCAAAGCCTGAAATTGATTGAATGTGGGTAATTTTCTGATTGGCAGTTATATTATGGAGCAAGCCATAGTCCAGTGCACTATTTTGTTGCAAGGAGTATTGCTCCCTGATATTGGGTCTAATGGCCTCCTTCTGTGCCAGAAATCTTTTGTTTCCATTATTATAGGTTTGGAGTAATAAGAAACATTTTGCTTTCAAGTAGCATCCAGTGGATAGAAAGGGCTGAACAGCCTTTTTTAATGTTGCAGGCATGTACATTTGGTAGCAGTAGGATGCAAATCTAGAACTGTTTGTGTTCTCTCAAGGTGTATTATTATATGGCAATGATGATCGCGATGGTAATAACCCTAAAATATGAATCCAAACAGTTACTGCAGGATACTTACTGCAGTTTCAATGCTAGAAGCTATGCAAAGACTTATATTCTTTCTGGCTCAAAATGTTAAGAGTGGTATACATCTACAATGTTATTGAATTGGAGTGGTTAAGCAAGTTACATTTAAGAAGTGTTTTAGTGGAGCAAAAGCTAAGGCAAGATAAGTTCCAACTCTTTGGAATTATTGGAGATCCATATCAGGTTGAATATCCAAAGCCGTTTTTGTTGAATTTGCAGATAGGTTTATAATTCAAGGCAACTCGATGTACTGACATTTTGAGCAATAACCTTATTTGATACTTAGTTTGTGTAATGGCTGTCAACTGAGCAATTGATAACATTCAAAAGGAGAGAGGTCTCTATGACCCCGATGGAGGAAAGAAAACTGATGGACAAAATTTCAATTTTTAAAAACTTCTACTGTAATAAACCACTAAAAGCAACACAATTTAAACCATACTTATCAGGACTTTTCCAATAAATAGGTAGATGTCACTTTAGTAATCAATGCCACAAACATGTAGTTACAAGGATTTGCATTTACTTTCTGCATAACTGTAGGACCACTTGCAGTTTTGCATTTTATCCATCTAGGCCTCTACACTGAGGGCTCTGTGACTTCCTACTTTGGCCCTTGAAACACATTCACCAACAGCCCTATCCATCCAAAGTCCTTGGACACAGTTAACGTTGTCAAGGTCGATGTCTACAAAAGATCTCTTGACTTGAGTCATATCGGTCCCTGATGACACAGAATTTTCAAGAGAGTCCATTGTCTGACCCCTTAAGCAGTCTAGTGGGCTCTGGCAAAGTGGAAACAGCAGCAATGTGTTTTGATATCCCAAACAGAAAACACAGGGTATAATTATCTATCAATTTACCCTTTGCTTCTTGGCTGTTCATCCTCTGAAGTAAATCCAGGAAACATACAGGCATTTTTTTTTATTTAACTTGTTTAAATATGTTATGACATACCACTGGCATAGATGGGACTTAAAACCTCCTGGCCTTGAGGTATTTCTTAGATCCTATTGTCATAATCAGCAAATCAATTAACTCTTTCTCAGGATATCCCTCGCCCACTTTGGTCTTAAAGGAAAATTGCACAAGCAAAAAATGCAAGCTTTTCCAAGCATATGAGTCACCACAAGATCTTGTAGCACAATGGTGAAGATCCTATGTCTGAACCAGAAGACCAGGATTTAAGTCCTACTTGCTCCAAAGATATCACAAAATGTGTGAGCATCTTGATTGTAAGTGTCACACACAGATTTGACAAACAAATGGTTAAAATTTCTCACTTGAGACAAAATAAAGGGATGTGTGTCTGATAGGGTAACAAAGAAATGAGAGTAGTTTGGGCTGATCCTTTAAAACTGAAGGTGAGTCGGGCATTCTGCTATTTTATTCCTGTATTTTCTTGTTGCATGCACAGAACAATAATGTATACTAATATAACACTTTAAAGCCAGTTTTGTTGGAAAAGTGGTAATATCACAGGACTAGTAATCCAGAGTCTCGGACTAATATTCTAGAACTGGAATGGAGGAGTTAAAAGACTGAGTAGGCAATAAACTCTATTTACAAAGAAAAATGTCTTGGTTTCTGTCTCACCAACAAGCTTGGATCTGATGTGTGACACAATCCTTGATCCCATGAAAGAGAAATCATGCTTGACAAATCTACTGGAATATTTTGAGGATGTAACTAAAATAGTTGATAAGGAGAAGCCAGTGGATGTAGTTTACTTAGAATTTCAGATGACTTTCATTAAGATCCTACATTAAAGATTAACATGTAAAATTAGAGTCATAGAGTTGAAGCACATGGGACTGGAGGTCATGTACTGACATAGATAGAGAACTGGTTGGCAGGCAGGAAACAAAGAGAGTAAACAAGTCCTTTTCCAAGTTGCAGGTAGTGACTAATGATACCCCACCTGTTCACAATATATGTTAATAATTTAGATGAGGGAACTAAATGTAATATCTCCAAGCTTGCAGATGACACAATTTTTTCTCTCAAAACTCTACTCTAGACCCCTCAGGATTGTGAACACCTTAATAAATCTCCTGTCAACCTTTTCTAAGGAGAGTAACTCTAGCTTCTCCAAATACCCACCTAACTGAAATTCGTCATTCCTGGAATCAACCTGCACTCTCTCTAAAGGTTTCACATCCTAAAGTGCAGTGCCCAGAATTCGATGTAATACTTTAGTTAATCCTGCATTATTGTTTTGGATAGTTACTTCTTTTATTCTCTACCTGTTTTTTTACAGCTTACAGACCTATATAAGCCTATAAGAAATGGATGATGATTATAGTTTGTTACCTTGCCCACATGGTTACTTGTCATGTAAGAATCTATGTAATGAGTAGCAAGCTGTTTAAGTCATCACATCGCAAGTCTCTCACTGTTCTCACCAGGTGTCTATGCTCATAGCTTTGCAACAAGCTTTGATGAATGGTGAGTAGGAATCTTGACTGATGTTAAACCTCAACCAACCCACCACCACTACCAAACCTTGGATACTTAGATGGTTTGTAGTCATATAGTTCCACTGAAAATGGGACCTTTTGGATTTGTTCAGCTATTTTTTGGACTGTCACTTCTATGACGTTTGCTATTAAATTGGTGTCCTCAACTCCTTTCCACCATTCAACATTACTTTTACCTATATCTGCCCTTTCGGTCAAGCTCTGCCATGGGCCTAGTAACTCTATGCAATGGCTTCTGTAGAACATGAATGCACAGTTGGTTTCATTGCCCTTCACGGTTGAAGTTCGGCTTATGGATGAAGAATGATATCAAGTGATGATACTGAAGGATTGTGCTACCATTGGAAACGTATCCCTGTAGGAACCAGAACTATGTTCATTGTAATGTAGCTTCAGGAGTCATCTTGTATGTGTCAGCCACATGTCAGTTGGTCATAGTTTCACCTCCAGTAATTTAAAATACAATGCCCAGCCTGACGTAGTTAGTGCAATAACGAGGGAATGCTGCATTGTTGGATGTGCTGTCTTTCAGATGTAACATTACACTAAAGCCCCATCTGCTTTTTTGGTGGATGTTAAACATCTTGTGGCACTAACTTGAAACAGCAGTGGAGTTCTTCCCAATATTCTGGCCAATGCTTACCCCTGAAAGAACTCATTGAAAGAGATGATTGCTAACAAACACATTGCTATTTATGGAAGTTTGCTGACTGCATTGTTAGCAGCACAAGTGACGACTGAAGTTGGAAAGTCACAATGTAAATGCAAGTTTTTGTAAACATGTTATTCTGAGCACAGTTCCTGATTTTGAGTTTTATACATAAGAAAACTCCACTAAATTTTAAAATGATTTTAAGATTTTATATCTTTTGAGAGCATGCCAGGTTTGTGAGCTTTCTAGTTTGATCCAAATCCCTGTGTAATTACTGACGAGTGTGCCTCTGTGATTTCATGTTGCTACAAAGTTGAGGTATGAAAGGCTTCCATAATATTAATGTTTTTTTTTACCTTTTCATATTAACAGGCTTTATGTGATGTCCTACAAAAATGATTAATCTTGACTCATTATTTTGTTGAGCAATCTTTATTACAGATCCCAGTATCTAAAACCTTCAGATCATGATTATTAATGATCCTAGACTTAATTTTTTAATTTTGTGTTTATGAATGTTGATAACATATGATTTTAATATCTTGTTAAAGCAATAAGTTCAAATTTCACATTGATGTAGACGGTTTCTCTTTCATTTTCCTTTTCTCCTTCCTGATTTTTTTTCCTGACAAGTTTCTGCTGTTTCGCTGGAGGGGAGCTGAAAATGTCAAATCCCAGCTTGATAGACTTTTCTTGAGGCTTATGGAATTGGGGTCTGAATAGTGGAATAGACCTGAGAGATTGGTCTCTTTTTCACTTTTGTAATGATATGTTCTTGGTAAAATGTAGCTCCTGGTTCCTCACTGATTTATCTTGCCCGCCAAATTTCTCCATCATTATGACAGCAGTGGGGTTTGGATTTTGGTATCTTGGTAAATCATACCTGTACGCAATTATTTACCAGCAGTTTTTAACACTCAAAGGTCAAAGATTTGTAAAGACCGGGAAGGGCCATTGAAGTAAGCAATGTAATACCTTTTGGAAGGCAGTTTATTTGTTTCTGTAGAGGTGTTTCTGTTACAAAAAGTGGGTTTGTTGCTGCTGGTGAAAGTATTGGACATATTTTTTGATTCCCTCATTAGTGGGATTATCCAAGGATTGTGACTGCTTGTAGTTGCTGTGAACAAACATCATGGTATATACTTTCATCTATCATAACTCTTTTCTTTATTCGTTAACGGCATGAGGATGTTGCTGGCTAGGCAGCATTTATTGTCCATCCCTAATTGCCCAGAGGGCAGTTCAGAGTCAACCACATTGCTGTGGGCCTGGAGTCACATGTAGGCCAGACCAGGTA